AGTCACAAATATAAAATAACATATGCATAAGATCATTCCTGCAGTGTTATTTGTAATGGCAAATCCACAGATAACCCAAATGTTCAGCAACAAGGAACTAGCTGAATGGAATATGGTACATGACTATAGCAGCACACTCTGAGGCTGTTACAAAGAATAAAAATGGTACTGTAAGGATTGGAGAGATTTTCAGAATCGGCAAAAAGCAGGGTGGTATACACAGAATGCTAACGTCTAGGTGAGAAAGGAGAGAAAAGAACTGCTATTTTCTTGGTCCCTATTTTTTTTTCCAATTAAAAAAAAAGATTAGCAAAAGGAAATGGGGAAGAACAGGATAGAAAAGACAGCGATGGGAACAGGACTTCATTGAGTCTTTTTATATAGCTGACTTTTAGAAAACCTTTTATTTTAAAAATATGTAGCTTTACAGAAAAATTATAAAGATAGTACAGAGTTTATCAATGCCCTTCACTCAGTTTCCTGAGTTAACACCTTACATAAACATGGTGCTCAGGATTTAATTTTGGTATAACAGTAAAGAAACTACAACTTTTACTTGGATTGTGTTTCCCCACAATCCCTTTTTCTGTTCCAGGATCTGATCTAGGATGCTACACTGCATTTAGTTGTTGTATTTCCTTTGCACTGTCTTCTTACAAAAATCGCTCAGTTTTTCAGTCTTCCTTGTTTTCCATGCCCTGGTCAGTTTTAAAGAGAAGCAGGCAGGTCTTCTGATTTGTCTGTTTTCCCAGGAATGCAGTTTTAGGGGAGAATGCCACAGAGTTTAAGTGTCCTCCTCATCACATCATGTTAGAGGACCGGTGACATCAAGAGACTTTTTATAGCTGAGGCTAACTATGACCACTTGTTAAGATGGGGGTCTGCTAGGTTTCTCATTGTAAATTATTATTTTCCCCTTTTGATTTTCTACTTCAGAAACCAGTCACTAGATTCAGCCCAATGTCCTTACTGGAGGATAAGGGAACAAAGTTCCACCACCTTTTTTGAGGGAGCAATATTAAAGAATCTGTGGACATATGTTAAAACCACCATAGCAATTAGTAAATACTACATAATGCAAACAAGTATGTAAACACATTTCTTCTAAGAGAGTCACCAACTAATTTTAACATTCATCCAAGAATCCTGCCTAAAACAGTTTGTGTGTGTGTTTGAGACTGGGGTTTCTCTATGTTGTCCATAGCTCTGGGTTCAAGCCATCCTCCTGCCTCTGCCTCCTGAGTAGCTGGGGTGACATYTGGCTGTTGTGTTCTTTTCTGGTGTTATTCTTCAACATCGGGGAAGCAAGGACTCATCACCGGCCAACAGCGGTAACAGCAGTTAGCAAATGGCAGAGGCACAATCTGTCTTACTTCAGACTAAGATACTGTTCCTCAATCCAGACACTACTTTGTTTCTATAAATAGAACATTACATCTTGGAACCATTTTTTTATTAAGACAGGTCTTCCTCATCTGAAATATAGCTGAATTTTTGCAAATGTAGTCTCTTCCAGTAAATTTATACTTTGTCACTTTTGGTCTTTAAGAACTCTGGGTGTCATCTAACATGCTTCCTACTTATCATTCAATGGTTTGAGTGCATTCATTAACTTGAGAATTATGCATCTTACATATTTAGCTAGTAATTAAAAAGTGCCCTTTATTCAAAAGGGCAAAATCAAAGCTCCATAGGTTCCCTCTAAAGACCCCAGCTTCTAGGCTACTAACAAGCCACTAATCAACATTTTAGGTTTAGTAATCTGAATTGATTTAAATTACCTAACTATATTTTAACCAATGTACATTTACTTCTTGTGTCTACTAGGCAAGATTATGTTTTGTGTTCTAAGGAAATCTAAATGGATTTATGTCTAACAATCTCCCCTTTACCAACAGTTAATAAACTTGTAACAAAAAGAAATATGATTTGTGTCACATGGCTTTTCCTTATTGAAGTTTTGCTGGCTTGGAGGACTCAGCTCTCCTTTCCCAAGTACTATCAAGCCCTTTTTTGGCCCTTCCAACGATTTCATAAAACCGATCATTAATAAGTCCTTGTACCTAAAGTCAGCTAATTGCTCTCTGTGAAATCAGTGACAGGCCAGACTCCAGTCTTCTATCATTAAGGATTCCTCAAAGGTTATGAACAATGATTTTACAATCTTATATGCAATTACTCTGACCTTAAAACTACAAATTAGATTTAATCCAGTTAGATATTCTTTATTTTTTTATTTTTATTTTTTACCATACGATTTATTTTTATTTTTTTTTAGTCATGCATGACAATGGAATGCATTTTGATATATAATACATACATGGAATGTACATACATCAATCATATTGTCTATTCTATTCTGCTGCCCTTCCTATCCTCCCTACTCCTCCCCTCCTCTCCCATCCTTTGTCTCTATCCAATCTAACGTGACACTTTTTTTTTCCTTTTTCTCGTCACAACATCATATATGTATTCTGTATAACAATGAGGTTCTCCTTCTGTCTTCCGTTCAACTCTCCTTCTCCCTCTTTTTCCCTCCCATCTCTCTTCCCTATTTAGTGGTAATCTTCTTCTCATGCTCTTCCTCCCTATCCCATTTTGAGTCACCCCCCTTATATCAGAGAAGACATTCGGCATTTGTTTTTTAGGGATTGGCTAACTTCACTTAGCATAATCTGCTCTAATG